GCCTTTCCCCGACTTAAAATACCCTCAGCAAGAGTATTCGGGTGCTGTCGAAATTTTTCGACCTCGTATGAACCCGGACCTTCACCAACCATAACCCCAAGCTAATAACCGGTGCCGCCGCCGTTGTTGGGGGGAGGATCGATGGAATCGTTAATGATGCCAACCGTGCCGGCAATAACAGGGACATCATTGCCAGAAGGGCAGGATGCCCATTTGCTAGCCTCGCCTTTCGAGCAAATACATCGTTTTTCGCGTGGGCTATTATATCTCATATCAGGAACTGGGTTCGACAAAATTCGCAAGTTCGCTAACTCACTCTTGACTCGTATAGGCCCAGTCATGTCCGCACGTCTTTATGCACTCGAAAGCTGCCATAACACATCCTGCCCTTTCACCAACGACTACACATCCAAAAGCTTTCTTGGTCTTGCAAAACATCACTTGGACACAAGTGCATTGGTTTCCAGATAAGGAGTCCGTCGTTGGAGCGCATGATGCGAGAGCGATGATCGCAGCGAAGGCGATAAGTATAGTAGACCGCATAGTGTTTGCGCAGGTTGTATGAATAGAATGTTTAATGAACTTCAGCGGTTGTAAGCACTATATATCTATACTCACATCCTAGCAGACAATACTTGGGTCATGAAACTCACACTGGGATAGACGTCCTTAAAATAGTTGATTCGTCCTATACCTTTCATCAAGGTTTCGGCGGCATTACTATACCCTGTAGAGTGGCCTCCGAGCCCTGTAGCTGTTATTTTGAATATCCAATGGGAGAAGCGGAGTATGCCTGTATTTCATCATAATCCATCACTTGACACTGGGGCGGCGGACTCTACAACTCGAATCGTAGATTTTTTGTCTGACTCGGCTCTTGATAGAGGTAGTTGTAGAACCCGGACCGTCACCAACTCCACCCACGAGCCTAACCCAAACCTCTACCCAGATGGAGTTCCGAACTCAACCCTGTTCTTGCTTGCTATCACAGTATAGTGCTTAGCTAGCATCTCTTTGGCAGCAAACGCTTCTGGTCGGCATGGCCATCTCCCAAGGAATGGCACGGCTCGGAACAATCTGCACTCACATCCATACAGCTTGCACTTCCACCAAAGATCAGACATCCCGCAGCTCCAGCCTTTATGCAAACCTCAAGATCTCCGCAAGAGCATTGAACTTCAGACACCGCTGCCGAAGCGGTTGATGCGAGAGTGATAGTCGCAGCGAAGGTGAGTGTTGTAGACCGCATGATGGTAGTCTTGCGTAGAGACCAGGCTGTATGTATATGTACTTACGGTAGTTGCTCGATCGTAAGCACTATATACTGTATTTTTACTCATATCCGGGAAAGGAACTCCTCAGCCTCGATGTGAGTGGCAATGAAAACTTACACTGGAATAGACGTCCTTAAAGTAGACATGCGCTACTATTAGAGGCACCAGTATGTTGGTGATCTCGAACGCTCTGTTGCCTTGCACGGGTTGATTCGAGCCGGATTCGGGCGGAGCGACAGGGCCAAGTATAAACGTGTCTGTTAGGCTGGCGTAGAGATCGAGAGATCAGCACTGTATACTGCACAGCCTCTTTCAAAGTTTCGGCGGTATTACTATACCCTGCGGAAGAGCCTTCGAGCCCTGCGACTGCTGTTAAATTTATCCAATGGGAGAAGCATGTGATGTCTGTATTGAGTTTAATTCACCGCTCGGGCGGCGGACGCAATCAGCCTATTGCTGGGTTCTTGAGCGAGGGACGGGTAGTGGAGTCATGATGAGGGAATTGACGAGGGAGATCGAGGCCGGGGTTCATGGCGGGAAGAGGAGGTAGTTGGTTGCGAATCCTGAGGCTGGAGATGTGGCTTTTCATAATCCTTATATGATCCATGTGGATTAGTTGTCCATCACTACTGCTATACCGACGTCGCAATCTTCCACTGCTGCTTTGAGCTCTTCCACGTCTCCACCTCTTTGCCTGATTACAAAGCCCAGCGTTTCTGAGAACGTCTCGCCGTTATTCACGAACCAATCCCCCAGTCCGCGTACGTGCATCTCGACCTGAGATTTGAGTGGACAGTTGTCACGCAGGTACAAGAGCTGCTCGGGATCCAGCTTCATCATATCTTCAACAACGTAGTAATGGTTGATGTCATCTCCCCATCCTTCTGCTCCAGGTTCGTGCCAGCGAGATGGCGCGAGGCGGGATTGATACCTAGACGGCGCAGATGGCGAGTTGTGATAATAGCTGTCTGGCGCGCATGCCGGAGGGTAGTTGAGGTGGATGTTGAAAAGCAAAGGACCTTTGCTCTCGGAATATCGCTTCTGAAACTTCTGTCGTACCTTGCCATTCGATGGGCAGACATTGTTCGCAACAATGTCGCGAAGGACTTGATGGATGTCCAGAATCTGCGCCAGCTCGGAGGTGTTCCAATTATGCAACAATGCCGCACGCTCGCGCACAATATCTGGTATGCCGCGACAAGTGCGGACATGCGATGTGTTGTGGAAAGCCTTGTCGAAGAGCCAGAGACGGTATATTGCGCGTCTCAGGATGAATCGCTCGTCATTCGTCAGGCTTCGTCGATATGCCCATTCCGTCTTCCACTTCTTGAACGGATAGATCTCCTCGTATCGCTGAGCGACTCTTCCTACTTTGACGACCTGGCGAAGCAGAGCTTCTGACATGGGTACGCTGCGGCGTATGTGTGCAGGTTGGGAGGCATTCCAGGTGAGTAGCTGAATGATGTCGTCGATGGGTCCGAATTCAGCATCGGCGGCCTCCTGCAGAATGACCAGCTTTCTCGAGGAATGGTATGCGCTGTAGCATCGACGACAGGTCGCGGAAAGTGCAAGGGCTGATGCAATGTCCGGAGCTGATAGGAAAACGTGGGTGATTATCTCGGTGGGTAGCGTGTCCAGCATGGTTGCGGTTGATTGACAATAGGCTGTTGGGGTGATTTTTGGGTTCTCGGTAGACTTTTGTGTTTTTAGGCTTCTCTCGGGGACTGGCTTCTGCAGACAGTGTTCTCGAGTGGGTTCTGGCTGAAAAGAGAGCAGACTACACTTCTCGTGTCGTCTGGCAGTAGATACTCGCTCAAGAGACGAACACCCCGTCCTTGGGGCTATGAATTGAATGGAAGTGGGAGCCGTGGGTGACACTCTGTAGCATTGACGCTGGCCCGCGATGGGCAATCATTGTCGTTGTGTGCATGTTGTTGTGTGGGAGGAGAAGGAGAAGGAGAAGGAGAAGGAGAAGGAGAAGGAGAAGGAGAAGGAGGTGGAGGTGGAGTCGGTGAGTCGGGAGGTAAATGTAATCACAGCGTCAACACAGAGAGTGGCTGGCACCTCCGCTGCCGATGGCACCACCGCCGACTCCATTCCGTGCACGGTGTCCATTGTCGACCTCACGCGACATTTCTGGTATGGACCCAGGTCACTGCAATTGTAGAGACTACTACATACAGCCACATTTTGCGCCTACGACGATATCGAAGACTATCTACAACCGATCACCGCTCTTTCGCCATGAATCGTTTCAAGAGCTCGAGCAGCGCAGTCGCTCGCCGCAGAAGTCCAAATTCCCTCTCCTCGATCTGCCGCTGGAGCTGAGACAGCAGATACTCGGTTATTTGCTACCTAGAACGATCGAGAAGTCGAGTACGAATCCGCTTGCCAACCATGCTCGTAACTTCAGTGCCGTCAGGAAGAGAGAGGCTAGAGGAATGATCGTGCCCAAGAGCAGTCCATTGCAGGCCGGCCCAAAGACAGTGATGTGGCGAAGGGGAAACATCAGCCTTCTCATGGTCTGCCGGCAGCTCCATGATGAATGCGCAGAGCTCTTGTATGGCGGCAATACGTTCCTGCTATTCACGACATACAATGGCACGACCTTTCGGTTCAATTGGTTGCTGGACACCGGGATGGCCCCGACGCGACATTTGCCATTTCTAGAGCTCCTGTCTGGAAAGTACATGTCTCTCATACGAAGAGTCATTGTGAATGTTGATCATGTCGACAGCTATACGGGCATGATTAAGTACAACGTGTCTGGGAAAGGCCTAACTCACGGCATACGCAAGCAAGTACAACGTCTTGTCAATGCTTTGCAACCTGTGGAGGAGAATGAAAGCAATGGTAGTCCTGAGCGACAATGTCTGACAAAAGTGGCCATTCGCGTCTCGAACGGAAATGCTTTCTTGGACCAAGTCAAGAGCGATATCGTGCGACAGCGCGAGAGTATACGAGTGAACGAAGACTTAGAAGAGATGCTCGAACCTTTCAGCGATTGGCGGGCAGTACGTGAGGTCGCAATCACAGGAGCAGTGAGCGACTCTTACGCAAGACAGCTCGAAGCAAAGATGAAGAGCACGGAAAGACTAGACAATGCGACAAGACTTCTGCGACGCATTGGCGACCTAGACTTAGTCGGTGCACCACAGCTGTGTGTTTACGGTAACGACATATGATGAGAATGACGAGACGAAGGCATGAAAAGCATAGAATGACGGAATGAAATCTTTGCATGGATGAACACCTTACACTTGATATTTGACCAATTTTATATGCTGACAGGAAATCAGACCGCCACCAATCTATAGAGAGAATACTCAAGGAGATTTGCAGGCCAACCCGAAATCGCAATCTAGCGGTGTTGGTGGATCATTCTCAACTTACCTGAATACAGTTTTTCACGTCCCAGGCTACACCGTGACATGAAAGACGGCATCTGACAATGCGTCAGCGCCGTCTGAAGGGGGGCTGTCGCCATCTTCGCTCTCGGCCTCGGTGCTATCCCAGGAGAACGCACTGCCAAGCTGGTCAGCGTCTGCTATCGGCAGGTCTAAGAATACACCTGCGCTGCCTTGAACGACAGCACCGGTGGAAGCTGGAGCAATAATGATCGGTGCTGGATAGCTGCCTGCTTGGCTCGTGAATGGACTGCTGCTGTTGTTAGACCGATACGCCGTAAGGTTAACTCGTCCATGGACATGTCGAAGTTGATGGAGATTCTCACCAGAAGCAACGCTGCTGAGCGGTGAGCTATAGACGCTGCTTGCAGGGCCATAGTGCGGCGAAGCGTAGCTGGACGTGCCACTGCTCGAAGTCTGCTGGTTGTGAGTATTTGGCCAGATGCTGGGATTTAATCTGCCACCATCCTCCGACCAGCCCTGAAAAGCGCGCTTATATACGCTGGCCATTGCGTAAAGCTGGTTAGCTCGAGGCCTATCAGCCGGACGGAAAGCGAGGCAAGCTTTGAGTATTTCCAGGACATCGGGACAGTCAGTAACCGTAGAGCGAGCAAATTCGGCATCGATGGTATCCCAGTCAAAGCGCTCTGGCATGTGGTGGGTGATTAGCATGTACAGCGACATTCCAAAGGCGTAGATGTCGCCTGCGGAAGTACAGACGAATGACCTATGATCGATGGAGGGATCCGTTAATGCATTCTCGGCTTCTGGTGCTCTGAAGCCATCAGTACCACCTACGCCTTCGATCCTAGAAGCAAGCTCCGCGTGGCCGAAATCAGCGAGTACGATATCAGGAAGACTGCTGTTCGGCTTCCACTTCATGAAGATATTCCCTGGCTTGATGTCGCGGTGCACAATCGGATCCTGCCGGAAACTTATCGATGTCGTGGTGTCCGATTCGTGGTCGTATGCAATGTCACCGTGATGGATGAAACCCAGTGCATTGATCATGCTGGAGATGAAGTGGAAGATGAGGTGACGGGGGGTCCGCTGATTGCTCCGATAGAGGTGTTCGATCAGTTCGCCAAGGTCGCCTCCATCGCAGAATTCGGTCACCATGTTCGTCATGGGGTGTAAAGGAAGGGTGTCGTCTGGTATCGTGTCAACGACACTGATGATGTTTGGGTGCCGGTACTGAATCTTATACTTTAGAATGTCGATTTCGGGCCCGGGACGCCACCAGTCATGCGAATCTCGGACGTCGTGGCATTGCTTGATGATATATCGCTCACCAGTCTCGCGGGAGGCGACTAGATGAATCGAACCTTCCGTGGAGGGCTTCAAAGTACGGATCAGATCATACTTGTGGGCGAAGCTGTCTGGATTGCCTGGAATCATGGAATAAGCTGAGCTGGTCGTATCCGGAATTGATGGATAGAGGCTAGAGCTTGGACGTGGAGGTCGAATTGGTGCTTGTCGTGTTGAGTCCTCGGATGCAGAAAGAGGCGCAACAGGGGTTCCATCAAAGGCAGCAAAGATCGGGATTGAGCCTGAGCCATAGCTGTCAATGATTGAGATGACATCGCTGAGTGCTGGGTTTGGGGGACTTGGCGATCGTATCGGAGCTTCAGGAGTCTGAACGACGTGGACGGGAGCAACTGTCGGCTGTGGTGGCAGTGGAGGTGGAATCGGCTGAGCAGCCAAAGTACCATACGACACGACAGCTGCAGGTTGGGGGAGAGAAGGTGGTGGTGCGCCCGCAGTTCTCTCAAGATCTGGCGTTGTGTTGTTTCTACGCCAGAACTGCCACCATTTCGCTTTCGTAGGCTTTCTATGGCGCATAAGTGGAGTCCTGCTCGCACTACGCTTACCATGAGATCCAGTCATGCACTCGCCGCAAGTCATGATGATTGCTGCAGCTAAGATGAGAGGTATAAAGCCTATAATCAAAAGTGGGTAGCTGTGAGGATCTGCTTGGTGAGTTTGACCGTTCTTCAACTGTTCGGACACCGACATTGATTGAAGCTTGACTTTCTCTGGCAGAGATGACTAGACCAGCTAGTTTACTGCGAGGGTAGAATGTCAAAATTCGAACAGTCGATGGACGGCTGGGGAGGAACGCACACCGAGCAGAATCGTAGAAGCGATGGAGGAGATGGTATATGTATCAGCCTGCCCTTGGAGAACAGCGTCGTCGACATGAGAGATGTTGTTCGGATTCTTTGTTGAACGAAGAGGAAGTGTGAATGGGCCTTTCACAATTGCATACAATGAGCAAAGGTGAGACAAAGCGGACATTGTACGTTGACAAAGAACACTACAGCCGGGGAGTAAGAGCCGCCTTGGCGCAAGGCTGAGCTAGGAGACGGAAGCTTCAATGCAAATGTGCAGATGGCACGTAAGAACTGATGTCCGATGTACGCGGAAATTTGTTCTGCTATGGAGCTGGAGGTGAGATACTTGTCACCCTTGAGACATTCTTGTCCATGGCTGGCACGTGCAGGATCCGCCATGCACAGACCGGAGAGCTAGATCGCACAGGACAACTCTGCTGCAAATCGGCTTCACTACCTTTGCACTACTATGAAATACTGCATAATCAAAATCACATGTCTGCTCGAGCTAGCGGCAGGGCTTATTCACTCATGCCGTAACCACGGCAACCTGCATCACAGGCGCGGCAACCATTCACTTGCAGCCGGCACGGTCTTCCAGCAAGATGTCGCATCTTATCTTTATCTTCTGTGTCTTCCAACTCTCAACGGTCAGCTTCATTATTCGCATTTCGTCCAATATTGCCAACAGCAGAACCTGGAGATATAGTCAAGACACTAGAGCTCTATCGCAATGACTTCGAGTACTCGAGGCGACCACTCGCCGAAGCATAAGCTGCGCATCACTTTATCGCAGAGAGTCTGGCATGCAATACAGACTATCGTCTCAAGGCTTTCGGGCAGTGGTATAGTTGGCACAACCACTGAGCTGGCGCTGCTTCGGGCATTGCAAGACTGGGACATTGGTTTCGATGCCACCGAAGACTTTCATCAAGTTCAGCAGTTCAGCAATGGGTCTGAAGGCCAGATCTTCCTCGTCGAAGGTCAAATCAGCGAGAATTTGTTCATCCTCAAGCGTGTCCGATCAAACGTCTGGAATATGCACTGCAGATCCAACGAGCCACGGATGCTTTCCTCCTACATCAGGCCACATCCAAGAATCATCAATATGCGCTTCGACCTTTCCGACCCTCTGGACTCCTCGCATTGGCTGATCTACATGGAATATTGTTCAGGAGGAAGTCTATTCGAACAGTATAACAAGTGGATCATGCATCGTCGCCAGCACATGCCAGAGGTCTTCTTACTACATTTCATCATCCAGGTCGCTGAGGCGCTTGCCTACCTTCATTGCGGCCTCCGCTATATCGGTCGAGGCCAGTACACCAAGGACGCTGACCATGCTCCAATGATTCATGGCGACATCAAGGACGAAAACATCCTGCTCCGATGGCCAGAGAACCCAACAGGGGGTATGCCAGATCTCGTGTTAGCAGACTTCGGCACCGCAAAGCTCGCTCACGATAGGGAAGCTAGAGTCAACGCGGGAACGCCTGGCTTCAATGCTCCAGAAGACATAGCGATCATTGGTGACTGTCAGCCCTCTTTCGAGAACATCGCAATCTTCTTGCAGGCCGTCAACAGTCGCTCCGTCGCAGCAGATATGTACAGCTTCGGACTCGTTGCCTACATGTTTGCTGCGAAGGCGAAGAAGCCAATGCAGATTGGGACGGATCCGGATACCCTCGAGATCTCGCGAAAGTACAACACTCCTGGTCTCGTTGAGCTCATTCGGAGCATGCTGGCTGTTGATCCGAGACATCGTGCTGAGGCATCTTTCGATCCCAAGAAGGGCATATTGCCTCAGATCCACCAGTTGCGGAAGGCTAGGGATAGGATTATCGCGAAACATGGATCTCTGGATCCCACTGAGTGGCTGCCGATTAGGAAGGCGTGAGTGTCTTTGCGAGAAACACCATTAATACTGTGACTGACTTATCTGTAGCGAATCTCCAGCGAAGACGATGACTAGCGACGATCGAATTGATTCCAAGCTGAGGTGAGTCGCTCTTGTGTATTCAATCTCGAGTGCATACTCATGTCGAGGTCAGCAACTACACGAAAAAGAGTGACAGAATTGTCGGAGCTCTTCCAGCTCCGGAGATGCGCGTTGCGTCGGTGAGGTCGAATCTCTCTTCTACAGAGTATCGTGCGGAAGACTGAAAGAGGAAATAACGTCTGCCAAAGCACAGTCGTAGCGATCAAGTGGGCAAGTGTGAGGCGCGGAAGAGCAGAATTCTGGTTGATGAAACAGCATTGATGACTTTAGAGCGAAGAGGAAAGAAATAAGCATAGATCTCTCACCGGGTCTGCAAAGTCTCACGTTGGCAGTGGGGGCCATCGAGCTGCAACGCGACCGGCAATTGGAGCATACGTTCGAAACTTGCTCCTGGAGAGCGTCAGCAGTAGGTCGCCTATCAGCATCGCCATTCAAGCAGTCGAGTAGAAGATTCAGGACTTCTGGTCGGTCCTTGACCGTTGATGACTCCCACACAGTGAGAGTCTCTTCCGTGATCTGCGAAGATTCTGTTTGGCACCATTTGGTACGGGAACTGAGGATTAGACCCGGGACTTCTCTGATAGGTACCGGTCTGAAGACCATGTATGCCGTGAATGGCACCGTATGCTAAGATGACTGAGTTTAGAGGTCGCTGGGAAGAGTTCGAAGGAGTATTTCCAGAGTCAGCAGTTTTATTCCTCTTCCAGAACTGCCACCATTGAGCTTGTCTCCTACTCTTGTTGCGTGGTCTTCGGTTGCGGCGGAGAAGTGGAACCCTAGGGCCTTCCGCTGCCTCCAGGTCTGCGCAGAAGGATTGGCCACGATGACGGTGCGTAAAAAGCTCCACGAAGGCGAGCAAGATAGCGACACCAAACATGACTGGAATGAACAGCGAGAGAGCTCTCGATTGATGATTGTACTCTTGCGGGTGGTCGGACATCGGATCTAGTTCGTCTATGAAGCTCACGGGTGCTGGGGTTCAATGTCCCAGGAAGTACAAGACCTGCTTGCACAAAGAGCTTGAATGTCGAACCGGTCGACCTCCGGTTGAGCTTATAATGCGATGGTGTTGGAAGCCATCGTCACTTTGCAGCACCTCAAGCTCGTTTTGAAGCGCGCAGCAGAGTTCGAGTGCCGAGAAGACAAAGAAAGTCCACCGTGAACCATTGAAAGGGCCCGTACAATGCTTGAGAGAGCATCTTTGTAATTGAAAAGAGAAGAATGGGCCCGCTTCTGCCGGCCGAGTTATAGAATGAAATTCCTCCTGGGTGGGCTTGATCTCAACCACTATTGATGGAACACACCTCCAGGCTTATAGAAATCTTTGATCTCAGGCTTTTACTGTAATCCATTGCCTCAAGCGACACCTTCACGAAGTCTTGGGTGCTTGGACATCTAGTCCTACTTGGCGAAGGCGCTGAGACAGCCTACGTGCTTGTTCTGGACAAAGTGTTTCTGCAGATTCTGAGTCGGCTTCCGAGCTTTCTTTGATTTTGAACCCGACAATCGCATTGTGGACATATGTTTTCGATGTTCAATCCGACAATCGCATTGTGAACGTGTGTCTTTGAACGAGTCTTTCACGCGCTTCTTTGTTGCTGGTCGCTGGTGCGAGTGCAGCATGCTGATATAAAGCTGTGATCGACGTGTGGGTAGTTCCCTCTTCACGCGCATCCATTCACCCCAGTGCCAGCTCCACTGCCAGTCTTCGATCTTCGATCTCTGCTTCCAACTCCCGTGACCTGTAGACCAGGCCACAAACCGAAACCGAACACTCTTCGACGCAGAGCCCACAGATCGACGACCAGGTGCTGGCACCACAATCAGACATCCCAAAGATTTCTTCTGGTAGGACATCTTCCTTCAACCTCCCTTCTGCTAGTATGTCGCGCGTGCAAACTAGCAGAGCCAACAAGTACGGCCCAGCCTTGGGTTCCAGCACTCGCGGTAGCCGATCCGTCCTTAGCAGGATGGCTTCCAACACCGTCTCGACCTTCAGCACCGCCGTTGCCACAATCACTGGTAAGATCATCATCGGCCCCACCCCAACAAGCATTTACGATCATCTAATTAAGCAGGATGTACTGACTCTTGACCCCAGCGACGTCCTCGAGACAATCCATCACCATGGTCCTACTGGCGATGGGCAAGTAACAATCGTCAAGTCCAAGACCACCGGTCAATGTTTCGCTCGGAAAGTCACCCATCAAACACCTCTTAATAGCCACAACACCAGCGCTTGGGACTTCGGTCCGTGGAAGAAGCCAAACGAGGTTCATGTCTTCGAGGTTTCTCGCCTCAAAGACCACCCTCATCCACGAATCCTCTCTTTCACAGCCCTCCGCGACGATAAGCCAGGTCAACATGTTCTCTGGTCCAGATTCTGCGCCGGTGGCAATCTCGCCGAACAAATCGACTTCTGGCGCGTACGCAGACGGACAGAGGTTCCCCATCAATTCTTCCTGCACATCGTCGTCCAGACGTTCGAAGCGATAGCTTTCCTTCATAACGGCCTTCGATATGCTGGCAATGGCAAATACTACCGAGATGGAAACCACAAGACCATCGTACATGGCGATCTAAAGGGCGAGAACATCTTCCTTCGTTGGAGCTCTGAAAACGTCGGTGGTATGCCAGATCTCGTTGTCGGCGACTTCGGAACGAGCATCGTGGAAGATCACCCCGGGGTACGAGTCATGCCAGGTACGTTGGTTTACAACGCTCCAGAGATCCAGGCAATCTATGGCGACAATCCCATCAATGAAGACCACTTCGACCTGTATTTCCGAGCCGGAGCCGCCAAGACACCTCCAACGGACATCTATACCCTTGGAGTTTTGCTCTACATGATTGCAGCGAAGTCTCGATTTCCGTTCCCCGCCGACAGAGACCTTTCAGAGCTGCGCATTTCTCGCGATTATGAGATCGAAGGCCTCGAGGACTTCATCGTCAAGTGCTTGCAAGCTGATCCTGGCAAGCGTGCCACCGCTGACTACGATGAACAGACTGGTATCATGCAGGCTGTTGATAAGTTCCGAGACTTACGCGACTCCATGATCACCAAGAATTCGGCTCTCGGTCCTACAGACTGGCTTCACCCCGAGCGACGGTAAGTCCCTCTTCTTTGATCTCTGGTTCTGTAAGGATATCGCTTGGCGGCTAGTCGTCGAATAGTGCATCAATTTCGGTAAGTCTGTATTCATAAAAGGTAAGGCTCAATCATTCTCGGCTTTCTTCAAAATTTCAAATCCAACTTTCTTTCTGTCAGTCCCATGCTGCTTCCCCTTTCTCGTCTCCGGCTTGTTGTTGATCCTTTACGGGCCCATCGATAGCGACATGGGTTTATTCAGTTGCCCAGAGGTGATAATGGGACCCAATGCGCTGACGTGACGTATGGAGCACATGGAACAAAGTTGTTCCGACCACCGCTTCAAGCTTTCTGCCCTCAATGCAATCTGGCCATGGATTTCTCAGCAGGATTCTGAATATTATTGCCCTATAAGCAGGTCAATCCTGTATAAGGGTTAGGTCTTTGTAAGTTCCTGCTTGAATAGGACCAGTTGCGCTTACAAAGCGTCTTGTGCATGCTGTACTGTGCAGGAAGCCGCTTTCCACAGTACAGCAGCGCCTCCCTTCCCGTTTCCTTGGTCGAGGCAGGATTTCTGCGATTTGCCACCTTACAAAAGTATCTTAGGGCCAGCAGGCACAGATGACTGTCTTACACAAGACGCTTTGTAGACTGACTGTATAAATCGTGGCTGGAACCACTCCGTCAGCTCCTGATCCCATTCAGCCCCGAGCAAGAGAGATTCATAACACTCTAAGTGCTGCAACATCGAAATGGCACCAAGCCCAAATTTTGAATGGCCATCCTACACCAAGACCGTCCACCGCAGTGTCTATCCAGCAATTGATCCGGCCCATCCGGCCAACTCCGCAGCTGGTAAAGTGGTCGTTATCACAGGCGGAGGCTCGGGCGTAGGAAAGGGCATAGCCCAAGCCTATGTAAGAGCCGGCGCCAAATCCGTCACGATTCTCGGCCGTCGCGAAAACATTCTTCTGGAAGCGAAGAAAGACCTAGAGAAATCCTCTCCAAGCACCAAGATCCTGACATTCACAGCCGACATCCTCGACGTCAAGGCTCTGGACAACGCTTTTGCAACGACTGAGAAAGAAGTTGGTCCTATTGACATCACCGTCGCGAATGCGGGATACCTTCCAAGTCCTGGCGCGATCACGGATGACAAGCTGGACTTGGAGGAATACATGAGCTCTTTCGATATCAATGTCAAAGGCACGATCAACACTTTTAGATCGTTCATGAAGCATAAGTCGTCCCAAGGCGAGCCAACCTTCATCTCCCTCAACACCGGAGCAGCTCACGTTCCACCCTTCCCCAGCGGATCTTCATACGCGGCCTCAAAATCAGCTCAGGCTCAGGTGGTCAGTGCTTTTCAAACTGAGAACCCCGATGTGAGGGTCGTGCAGTTCCATCCTGGTGTCATTGAGACAGAAATGTTTCACAAGTCTGGTGTGCAATTGACTCTGGATGATGTAAGTCTGCCGGCGTCTTTTGCGGTGTGGTTGGCGAGTCCGGCTGCGAGCTGGGTCAAAGGATTGTTTTTGTGGGCGCATTGGGATGTTGAGGAGTTGGAGACGTGTAAGGATGAGATTCTGGCGGAAGGACATTTAAAATTGACTCTTGCGGGATTCCCGAATGTGGCGAAACCTGTTGTTGTGGTGTAGGTTTAGAGGATGGAGGACAGTATCATAGGCTTGGGTACTGGTAGAGTAGACATATTGCGAAGAGTAATGAAAGAAACATCGCACTACTGCATGCCTACCGTGATCGAGTGTTCACAGGACCTGCCACAGAACGACCGACGCCAGCAGAAACGATGCGTCGAGCTTGACGTCTCACAAGAGACAGCATTTGTTAATGGCAAGCACAGCAATACCTTGGTCTTCTCGCCTCCAACAGCAATGCATGATGAGGATCCGCGAACAAACTTGTCGGCGACTGGCGGTCGCTATTGGGGCCGCAGTCCCGGTGAACCCCATATGAGAGGTAAGAGCGTGGACAGGCGCGAGGCTTGGCTCGACCGGCTGTGTATCCGCCTTTTCCAGCACGCGAACCTCACCTGACTCGAGTAGAAGGAAGTGATCGCGCCGCCAACAGTGCTCTCAGCTGGCTGTGAGCGTGCGCACTCATGTGGCGCTCCGCTCTCCTAATCATGGGCCGGACTTCGATCCTGCGCTTCATTCAAGACAGCATGCAGACAAGAGCGTCAGTAGCGGCCCAGACTGTCAGTGTGATGTGTTTTGGTTGCATGCTCTTGGTGTGGCGCCTGATGGCGGGTAAAAATGGTCCAAGAATGGATGTCGAAATCTGGAAAGAGGGTTCAGTAAGCTATTTCATGGTCTACTTGATCTCGCAATACCTACTCCATCTCGTTTCCCACGACGATGTGCTGTCTTCAATCAGAATCGTAATCACCAAGACCCAGCGATACCACCGGGGTTGCTGCAGGCGCAGAGCTAGGAGTTGCGACCGCAGGCTTGGAAGCCTCTGCAATTGGGGCAGTGACAGGCTCAGTCGTCTTCTTCTTGATTCCGAGGATAGCCTTCGGATCTTTCTTCGCTTTCGCCGTGCGTTGGAAAGTCGGTATCGCTGGCGGAGGCATCAAAATGGAGTCGTCATCTTCCAGCTCATCGCCCAGTCGCCGCACGCGTTCGCCAGTGCTGCTCTGAAAAGCCATGCGTGCCTGCTCTTCTAGCTCCCGCTCTATCCTCTCTTTTTCTTCATCCACTGTTGGAGCCGCAGGCGCTATGCCGACTCCATCTTTCTCAGCGCGCGCTCGTGCTGCATTGCGATGCCGAATGTCGTCTAGTGCGTCTGCGATTTGCATCTCTGTCTTTGCATCAAGCGTTTTCTTCTCGAGATCTTTCATCGCATCGCGCTCGTCTTCCTCCTTCTGAATGCGATCAAGCCGCTCTTCCTCGGTTTCCTCGGCGAGTTTCGCTTCTCGCCATACTTCAAAATTTCGCTTCGCTCCTCGTTCGCAAGTATAGTCCATGTTCTTGGGATCAGTTTTGAAGGTGATTTCTGCAGAACATCGCGTACACTTGATATAGAAGCGTAAAATTGTGATGTTGTAGTATTTCTCGTCCGTGGTCTCTTTTCGAGCGTTGAACTTGCGGCCCTTGTATATAAACTCGCCGCAGGATGTGCACTTCATGCTGAATGGGGCCATGAGACGGACTGTCTGGACTTTCGGTCCAGTCTGCTTTGGACCTCGCCGCCGCTCGAGCTTCGATGGATCGAAGTCTGGGGGATAGTACTTGGACAGCACTTTTCGCTCAGACATGTTGGCGGTATTGCTGAATAGGGCTGGGTGTGGATGAAAGTGTCAAGTTGTAAGGGCGGCTTGAATGTCTAAGTCATGTCATGCTGCCAGTCCAAGACTCAGATCGGCCATCGGCGTCGGCGTCAGAGGCCCGCCGACGGAGCTCCATACATACCAGAGGCTCAATGGCTTCACTTGAGCCTATTGTCGCGATAAACCTTACTTAGACTCGCTATACTACTTCCGCGCCTTGCCTCGCAATATTCTTCTTCTAGCGATACCGATACTAATAGCGATACCGATAGTAGTAGCCGCTATAACTAGTATTCCGCGCGATCTTATTCTTAGCGCAGCTTTAGCAGTATTAGCTTTAGCATTAGTATTAGTATTAGCTTTAGCATTAGCTTTAGCTTTAGTAGCGTACTTACTAGTAGGAGGAGGAGAATATTTATTATAAGTTACGAGGCGTATCGCTATAGACTCGCTACTAACTCGCTTTAGACTTCGACGCCCTACGACTATAAATACCTACGATTTCTAGTATTATAGCGCGTAGATATAGTAAGAGCTGCTTAATTAGATAGCAATACTAGATAAGAAGAAGGCGGTATTAAATAGACTGCGGAAATATAAGGCTACTAGAATTATTATAGAAACGGACTCTAGCAAGCTTGCACTAGCGCTATACTACTACTATATACGCTCTAATAACTTTAAGTGTCGTATACTTAATACTAAGGGCGAGCGAGTCTACGCTTATTATAAGTATAAGGGCAAGTCTAGCTATACTGCTAGTTTAGAGGTTAAAGAAGACGATAGAAACAGCGAGCTAGCCGCGATATAGGCGCGAGTCGAGGCTACAGAGGCAAAGAATACTACTAGTAAACTAGAGGCAAAGATTAAGGCACTAGAAGCTAGGTTCGATAAGTTAGAAGGATACTGCCTCTCGTAGTTTAAATAGCTTAAGAATAAGGCTATTATTAAGTCTCGCGATATATATACTATTTAGAAGGAGCTATAGCTAAATACGACTCGCGAGCCGCTAGCAGAAGATGTTTAAGTTAGAGGTTTTAGAGATAGTAAAAGAAGTGCGAGTCTACTACGAGTCTACTACGAGTCTACTATTCTATCTCTTCTTCTTTAGTCGTTAACTACGCTTTGTGTTCTTAGCCTATCTGTTACTAGTAGCCTGTCTGCCGCTATTAGCCTATCTACCGCTATTAGCCTATCTACCGCTATTAGCCTATCTACCGCTATTAGCCTATCTACCGCTATTAGCCTATCTACCGCTATTAGCCTGTCTACCGCTATTAGCAGCCTGTCTATTAGTAGGTTGCTAATCCTTCGATTCGCGCGACCCTTTCGGAGTAGGCGTGCCTTGCGGTATACTCGCGGTAGTATCGCCGCTTAAGTTAATTATCTTAGGCGGCTAATTCGTATCGATAACCTTCTTAGTCTATAGCTTTTCTTTCTTAATCTTAATACTATTAACTACCTTTTACTAACTCGCTATATTACTCGCACTAGTACTCGCAGTAATAGTACTTAACCGATATTTCCGCTTTTATTATTACTGCTTTGTTACAGTTTAGACAGTAGTGCGGCCGATCCTGCTCCGGATACTATCGATCCTGCCGCAGATTAGGACGATTAATATATATAGTTTCCTAGGCTAGTAACTAACTAACAATTAATTATCTTTGTATACTAGAATCGTGTCTGTCTCCGCTCTATAGAGCGTATTCTAACAACTTGGTAGCTTCGCTAAGATTACGACCTAATTAGCTTCTATACTAATTAACTCCTCTACTAGAACCGAGCTATTAGTCCTAATTGCGACGAGAACCGAGACGATTAGCTAAGGATTTCCCCGATCTAGCGCCGACCGCGACGATTCGACTTGCTACGTTATAACCGATATTTACTCGATTTATACTATTCCGTACTAGTCGGCGGCTACCTACTATAGTACCTCGCCGATACTAATATACTATATACCCGAATCGCCTAACCGCGGATTCGGTAGGTAGCTGCGCTTTAGCGGCCGGTAGCTATTTCCCCGTATCCCTAGGAAGGTACCTTTTAAGGAACAATAGAAGGATTAGTCCTAACTAGTTAACAAACTACCTTTTACTGCTAATCCGGATAGCCTCCGTAACGATACTCTACTATATAACGCTTTACGTTAATCCTACGCTTCGTTTCGCTTCTAACCCGGATAGAAGTATAAATCTATTAAACTAGCGGTCCGACCGCTACCCTAGTACCGTAATCTTAGATTACTAGATACTAAGTCTTATATCCTACGCATTTGTACCTTTATCGGCTACTACGTCCGGTATAGCGAGAATTTTGCAGTCTAACTTAGAGTAAAGTACGGCCGTATAGACCTGCTTGCCTCCTACGTCCTATAATACTACCTACGACTAGGAAATCTACTACCGTCTTAGGCTAAGATCGACGAGCTATACCTATATACCCTCGACGGGATCGACTTCCCTAGCTAGTAGGTAGTCGATAAAGGCACCTTAATACGATCGGTTAAGGAACTAAAAGTAGCTTTTCCGAATACTCGCGATTCGTACTATTATAAGTAGTTTTTCCCTAAGGTATACTCGCCCGCGGACATTAAACGAGTACGAGTAAGAGAGTAATGCCCGTAGCCCGATCCGGCTACTTATCGCTCGCCTTCTTCGCGGGTACCGGAGTTTTCGCCGATTACTTAGTAGGCGGCGTCGTTGCTACTATCCTCTCCGAGTAGGTATCGACCGCCTAGAGCTACTATCTATTCGAAACAACTACGCGCGCGACGTCCTAATAATTATATAGATAGTATATTGCCCTCTATGTTTCTACGTAGACTGTTACTAATAAGGATCTCTAGCGATAAATCCTCGCCGTAGGAATCCTCGCTATACCCTCTACTAGATAATAGATAAGGCCCGATAGACCGCAATTATAAGAACGCGCCGCGAGGCCGCGGGCTAACGAAGGGAAATCTAGGCAATAGCGAGCCTCGTAGCTAGCACTAGCGTCCGCTATCTATAGGGTTTACGATAGAGCTAGATCGTAGCGAGATCCGTAAATAACTAGACTAGTAGCGCCTATATGCCTTACGGGAGTTAGTACTACGTCGAGGTATTATCTTAGATAACCGCCTCGCCTAATTTCTTATAGAACAATGCCTTTCTCCTTAACCGGATTAGACCGGTTCCTAGGCGGGCCCCGAAGACTACGATAATAGTCGCGACGATCGTTCGCATATCGTAGGTAGCGATCGTTCCTACGCTAGCTAGGACGATCTAGGGTAGGAGGACCGCGACGGCTACTATAGCTACGAGTTCCGAGAGCAAGTCGAGGACTATCTTAGCCGGCGTTAGAGGTCGCGACTTAAGAGAGCCGGTTTAGTTTCCGAGAATAGCCGCCGCGACTCGCTATAGGATCTAAACGACTCGCCCGACGGCTAACTAGCTAGCTATAGCCCGCGGTTAGGTCTAGACGGTAATTAAGGCTATAATTACGCTATATATAGCGGAGGGAATACTAGCGGAGATCCTCGCTACTACTAGCAACTAGGACGCGATAGGAATGCTAGCTAGATAGGCAAATTTGCTCCTAATAATCTATATAATTACTAGCAAACGTACGCCTAGGGCTAGGCCGCTCGTAAGCCTAAACGCAACGGAAATGCTAGCTAGGCGGGCTAATTTATTCCCGATCTACGTAGTTACTAGCAACCGTATACCTAGGGCTAGGCTACTCGGGAGCCTAAACGTAATAGAAACGCTGCCTAGACGGGCTAATTCGCTCCCGATCTGCTATATTACTAGCAAACGTACGCCTAGGGCTAGGCTGCTCCTAGCTAGATACGACAATTCGCTCCCGATAACCCTCGCTACTATTAATAAGCGCCGCCTCGGGGCTACGCTACCTATACTAGAGGGAATATAGGCTAGTTACGCTAATTTCGTCTAGATAATCCTCGCTATTACTAACAAGCTTACTAGCAAGCTTATACCCTAGGCCCTTATACGCAAAATAGTAGCTCGTACGACGCTAACCGATATAATAGCTATATAGAGTATAGCGAGCTAAATCCCGGTTATTAGCGTAAGAACTAGAAGGGAAAGTATCGCGCTCGCGGTTCCTCTTCGCTATCTAATAGCTCGTCGAGCGACGATAATAGCTACTATAGCGGAAAATATAGCGCGCATCGCCGGGCTCGCTATTATCGCTATTATAGAGATCGTTCCTCGTCTAAATTAGACTCCGAAGAACCGGCCGACTATCGGTACCGTCCTAGGTTCGATCTAGCCCGTCTAGGATTCTTCGACCCGACGCTAAGTATAACGGAATATAGCGATAGCGATTACGCCTTAGTAGGCAATAAAATAACCTACTAATCGGTATACGCCTTTATCTCGGCGACTAAGGACTATATATATATCGTAGGATTAGAGGAGGTTCGCCTTAATATTTCCCTTTGTTTCCGCGGAATTATATAGACCTAGTACTAGGCGCAGATTTCTAGTTAAGATCGCCGCTATCTTCGTAAGGGGTACGGTATTAAGCGTTAGTAAGAGAAGCTTAGTAAGCGCTAGAAGGTTTCGGCAGTAAAGGCGATAAAGCTACTTAACTAGTAGTCGTATAGATAGAAGGATATTAGAGTAGGGAAGTCGATTACGGACTATATCGTTACGACGATAAGGTTAGCGAGCGACGCTAGCTTCGGTAAAGAACTGCAGATCCTATAGGCCTATCGCTATTTAGAGCCGCGTTTCTAGGAGGCTCTATTCGAACTAGACGAGGATACGACGACGGACGAATTCGTTATAGCCTACGAGAAGAAGTTCTATATATAGGAGTAGATAGCTACTAGAGGTAAGAATCGTCGCTAGCCTAACTATTAGGGAGTCGGTCGCGATAATCTACTAAGGAGAGCCGACGGTGCTTAGAATTAGAAGGATAATCCTAGTCGAACTAGATCGTTAGGCGAGTATCGCGCCTGTTTTAATACTAAC